GGGACTCTCTCTCTGCCCCTCTTCCTCTCTCTCACATGAAAATGGGACTCAGGTGATGCGTGGTGAGTAGTCTCTATCTATCTCTCTATCTATCATCTATTATCTATTATCTATCTATCTATCTATCTATCTATCTATCTATCTATCTATCTATCATCTCCTGGGACTGAGGTGGTGAGTGATGGAGTCGTGTCTCTCTCTCTCTCTCTCTCTCTCTCTCTCTCTCTCCACATCTCTCTCTCTCTCCTGGTCTCTCATTCTCTGTCATGTTAGTGTTTGTCTTCTCATCTCCCTCTTTCCCTCTCTCAGCTTCTCATGCTTTCTCGGTAGTCTCCTATCCATGTGCTCTTGAATGGCCTTGTCTCCATTTTTACCCCCTCCCTCCATTGGTCTGTTTCTGCCTCTATGGACCCCTGGCAAGGATCCCACATTTCCCTCTCTTTCGCCTCCCGCTTAGGGTGACTCCGGAGGCCCTCTGGTCTGTAATGGAACACTGTATGGCATCATCTCCTGGGGTGACTTCCCCTGTGGGCAGCCCAACCGACCTGGTGTCTACACTCGAGTCTCTCAATACATCCTGTGGATCCGGGAAACAATCCGGAAACACAACGGCAAGTGGATGGATGTGACACAGACAGAAGCCGCTGAGATCCAGTAGATGCGTTCTGAATTTTATTTCCGTGGGGAAACTCAGTAGGAAGCATAATAAAAAATCGGGTGCTTCCCTGCTTCCTGCTTCCCCACAGTGGCCTCTTTCCTCAAGCCTTCCCCCAAGCCTTCCACTCTAGCTGGTGGCCAAGGTTCTCAAAACAGTGAGCCCAAGCGCATGTTCCCCATTTCTGATGTGTTTAATCACTGCCTACATGGCAGTCTCCCAAACACAGCATCCCTGGAAACACACCGGTCCCTTGAATGTCCCCAAGCCAAATCACATTCCAGGTCTCCCAAATGTTTCAGCATGGCTAGCAGACTCCGAAGCTCTGGTGGGGCGATGGTTAAATGCTTGGCTGCTGACTAGAAGGTGCCCAAACCAGCAGCTGCTCCACCGAAGGAGGAAAAACTGGAGATCAACTTCCCTAAGGCTCTCAGCTGAGACATCCTACGAAGCGGTTCTACTCTGTGCTTTAAGGGCTCCCTGAGTGGGAATCAACAGCACAGACCCAGACGGTGTTCCAGAGGCCCTGTGTGGTAGTTACATCGTCTGTTGTCAACTTGAGACTATTAAGAGTGAAGTGGTGGGAGTGTAGCCTGTCAATCAGGTTGCAGGTTGATGACCTCATCGGGAGGCGCAAAGGAGATAAATAGTTCACTGGAGGTCAGACACACGCTCCCTGCGAGAGATTCCTGTTGACCAGACACGTGGAGCTACGCTAGAGGCCCGGAGCTGAAGGAGCCACGTGGAGACCCCTCCCAGCGCTGAGATGCTTCCACCG